CTCTAGCCTGTACTGCCTCCCAAGAGAATTCATTTCTGAAGAGCAATATTGTGGTAGAATATGTTTGAAAATATGCACTATACAAGTAAACTGGTTTTGAAAGCAATTTGAACTCCTTGGAGGAATACTTACATTTATGTTAGTTATTGTAGTGCTAACAGCAACCACTGAGATAGTATAAGCTTTTATATTCCGTAATTATTTTACAATTGCCAATGACTACTTCCAGGCAGTAGTAACACCATACCCCCCCAAAGATACTTATCAAGTATACTAGATGAGGAAAAAATATAAATTTATCCTCGTTTTTCTCTATTCAAAATACTAAGTTATTCAGGGTAACTTAACAACTCAATTTAGCACTAGAAAAAGTTCCTTGAGTCCCTTCCACACCCCCACAGCCAGGCTCTGTGCAGAAATGATTAAAGGGGCCTTCTTTTAATTGCGCCTGCTGTATAATCCTAGACAGCCCCATAGTTCCTATGAATTTGAATGAACTGGTTTCCAGCAGGAAGTCTAATGTATACAGCTTTGATTGACACCTTGTCTGCCAGCCTCAGAAAGTTGTACAGAGACAGAAAATACAGACCATGTCGAAGAGACCAATAGGCTTTCATTAACAGTCACATGTGCCATGCAACCCACAAGGTCTCAAGCCCTCTCTAGAAAAACCACTGACCTTAAAGAATCCATGGGGCCTTTTGGCAAGCCTAGCTGGAGAGATACACATGAAGACTTGGTGGCCAAAAGAGCCTTGGGCTTTCGCTACTCATCTGCCTGCATGGGCTGAATTTCAGGGGGCTCCCTGTCCCAGCCCAGAAAACAAGGCCAACAGGCGTAGGCAACAGAGTCGTTGCTTTGGTAGAGCATAGATGTCAGAGCAAGCCGACCTGCATTTAAATACTGGCTTTGCCACTTTCTGGCTCTGTGACCTTGGCTACATTACTTCACCTCTTCATGTCATAGGTTCCCCATCTGCTAATGACGATAATGCAAAGCCTTACTTCATAAAATTGCTATGAGGATTAAATAGCTTTGAATAATGCTTATCACACTGTTAGAGCTTGAATGGGGAAGCTGTGTCTCTCTGTTCCCCAAGTCAGAAGGACAGGCTACTATTTAATTTACTAAACAAACAGAGTGATTAGAATTCATACACAACCGTGTATGGAGTTTTTATAAGGATGATCATTTTATGACATTTGGTTACAAGGGCTTAGATAATCAGGCTTTCAGATAGAAGACCCTCATTCAAAGAATAGATAAGAAGAGATTGCAATTAGCACTCACTGATGCAATGATGGGGGTCCATTCACCTCACAATGCTGTGTGTAAACAAGACCTTCAGCGAGGTGAGTCATAAACCATTGTATATCATGTGACACTCATGGGAAATAGTTTCATCTCAGCTCTTTTTCCTTGCCTGTCTTTTAGTCAATGTTTTCCTTTGTTCCGGTGGATAGGAATAAATTTCCATCCAGGCCTCTGTGAGTTGCACCTCTCTACCTTCTAGTGCTGGGTTCCTGTGGAGATACTTTCAGTCACTTGGAGCAGGACTTGAGGGAAGATTTGTCTCTCACATGTTCTCATGGGCAAAGCATAACTCCATTTCCAGCTTAAATTAGGAAAATCGCATTAATTTTTATAAATAATAAATAAAATGATTTATTTTCCAAGACCATTCTGTGCATATATAACACCAAGGGAAAGAGAATAAAAAAATAAAATAAAACATGGACTCCCTTTCCCCAAGTGACTTTATAATCTCTAGGCAAAATACACAGAGGTATAGGGTGCCTCATGGATAAAGAATAAGAGACACTGAGTAGAAGGAAAAGAGAAGAAATGCTGATCAGAGAAGGGAGACCTCGAGATAGCTAGAGCCGAGGTCCTGGAGAATGGAGCGGCCAGTGGGAATGCCGAAAGCAGCGCTGGAACGATCCTTGAGCAAGAGCCGCGTAGGAAAGCGGTGAACCGCTGCTATCTACAAATACCTCATGTAGTTATAAATATCTCTTTATGATGGGAGGGGATATTCCACATGGAAGTCTCTATGTGTTACCTTTGACCCGTTTGTTTGCGAATGGCTTGTCTTTCACTTTTCCAGGCAGATTCATTCGCATTTTAAGAGATTTCTCCAATGCAGGTCTCTGGCTTTCAACTCCCACAGGGGTTTTAGGGCAGAGTTTGAAAATGAGGAATAGAAAAATGTATTTCTCTTAGAAGTACATGCAAGTCCAAAGGCTGATGAGAGGCAGTGTGATTTCAGGAGGAGTAAAGGAGAGACATCTTTTACTGTCCTATCCCCAGGAAGCTCATTGGCTCTGAAAAGGTCATTGTCCCAATGACCAGGAATGATGTGAAAGAGGCATAGTGAAACTCTTGTTGGAGCTAGTTCTTCATAGCACTGTTTACAACAGCAAAAGTCTGAAAACAACCTGAATGGTGTGTCCAGTGGCAGATTAGATACATTAGAGCAAGCAGTCACATCTTTTGGCAGGTTTAGGTTCTAAATTCAAAGGGATTGCAGGTCATGTCAAAGCTACACTAGAATATCCATACTGTGCTCTTTCTTCAGCAGGATCTAGGTCCTGAAAAGCACAAAAGCCACAGGGGACTTGTATCATTTCCCTTCTTTCCCGTAAAGTGAGGCCATGCTTAGTTTAATCAGGAAGATGGGCTCAGGCAGATCTCAGAGGGGAGGTATGTGGGGAGGAGGACTGGAAAAGCTTAGTCAAAGAATATATATGCATAGCTCACGGATACAGAATAATTGTGGTGAAGGCTGGCTCAGGGGTGGGGCCTGAGTGGAAGGGGCAAAGAAGGGGAAAATGGGAGATACCTGTAATAATGTCAACAATAAACATAAAAACTATACGTGTATATATACACACACACATATACATATATGTATTACTTTCTCTGCCTCTTTCTTTTGCTGTCTGTTCCCTCCTTTCTTCTCCCCTCCCCTCCCTTTCTCTATTCTTCTCTTCTCTTTCTCTCCCCCTACATTTCTCTTTCTTCTCACACACACCCCACCAACACATACGATTTATTTTTGTACACTAAATAAGTCTAGGATTCACCTCCAATCTATATTCTTAGAGTAAAATGATACTTAGCTACGTGAAAAACTGATGGCATGTATTAACTGCATCCTCTCAAACAATCAAACAAACAAGGCGCAGAACAGTGTACATAAGCTCACATTTATGTAAATGCAAATCTGCGGGCTGAATATTTTTGCCCCTCTCAAATACGTATGATGGAGTCCTAACCACCAAACTGATAGTTTCTGGAGATGGAGTCTTTGGGAGGTAATTAGGTTTAGATGAGGTCATGACAGTGGACTCCCAGGATGGGATTAGTGTCTGAATAAGAACAGAAACAGACCAAAGTTCACTCTTGTTCTACCATGTGGGGGGTGCTGAATACTCTCACCCCTTTCTACTTTCTCCCATTCATAATGGGAACGTCTATCTTATGCCCAGCCCACTATTTTATTTTGGATGCTCATGGTTAATCTGGTTTCACAAATTCACAGAACAGAGAAATTTTTCATCAGTACGAATCATACCTTAATTCTCATCTGTATCTGATTTAAATTATACTTGATGAGACATTGGACTTTAGACTTTAGAGCTGATACGGGAACAAGTTAATACTTTTGAGGCTCTCAGGATGGAATGAATGTTTTTTGCATGTGAGAAAAATATAAATTTTGGGAGGCCTGGGATGGGAATGTTATGGACTGACTTATGGCTGCCAACTCACATGTTGAAGTGCTAATCCCCAGTGATGGTGTTTACAGGTGCGGCCTTTGGGAGGAATTAGGGTAGGACAAGGTCATGAGTGTGAAGTCCCCCTAATGGGCTTAGTACCCTTACAAAAGAGGAAGAGAGACTAGAGCGCTGTCTTTCAATCAAGTGAGGACAGAGAAATAAGGAAGTCCTCTGTAATTTTCTGCAGTATTTATTGAAATACTCTGGCCTTTACCAGGAGGTAAATATGCCAGCCCTTTGATCTTAAACTTCCTAGCCTTCAGAACTATGAGAAACAAATGGGTTGTTTAAGCTACCCAGTTATGTCTTTTTGTTAAAGTAGCTTAAGATGACTAAGACTATATTGGACAATTCATAGAACATTTCTGGAAGGTTAAGTAAGAAATTATGAATATTGGTTGCATCCCATGTGATAAAGAAAAGATCTAGGAAACCTGAAATCAGAAGTGAGAGGAAGATCTACTTTTAAACTAAATAAGATCTACTTATTTACAATGAAAACCTTTATTTGAACATGGAAGAAATGTGTGCATAATGCTTTTAGTAATAAAAGTCACTATTAAAATTTTAAGTGTCTGTCGCCTAAGTCACATCAAAATATAACAAAACAACAGTTACAAAGCCCCTGCTGTTCCGTAACCTCAATAATCTATTTTGGGTTCATTAAGTAATTTATAACACAGCTTTAATATTCTCCTAAAATGTTTACTACTCCAGTGCCATTTCCTGCCACAGGGGGATGTGGGCATATCTGAATAAGAAGAGACCCCCTGTGAGAGCGCTGGGTGAGAAAATAAGTCCAGTGCTTATTTGCTAGGTGATATCTTAACATTGCAGCAAAAGAAACTGAGGCTTTTTTAATAGCCGAGTAGTATCCCAGAAGAAAATTTTACCCTTTGTGACGACATGGATGCAGCTGAAGAACATTATGCTAAGTAAAATAAACCAGTCAAAGAACAATGAATACCATATGATTTCACTCCCCCATGGAATCTAATGAACAAACTGAGCTAACATGCAAAATAGAGACAGACTTGTTGATAGAGAGCAGGGCAAGAGCTATAGGCTTGTAGGGGAGGTTCGGGGGAAGAGGGATTGAGCAAAAAAGAAAAAGGACTCATGGGCATGGACAACAGTGTGGTGATGGTGGGGGAGGGGGTACAAGGAAACTAAATGGTAATGTCAAAAATACAATAAAAAAATTTTAAAGAGACTTACCAGTAGAACCTGTTTGGTACAACCCCTTCCTGGATAAGCTGCCACCTTCTCCCGAATTCAGCAGAGCTGTATAACTATAGAGAAAAGAAATTACTTAGCACCATGACCTGATGGTACGTTGAATACACAAATATCACTTTGTCAGATCAGTAATGATAATAGTACCCACCATTTATGAAACACCTGCCACATGCCAGGTGAACACTCTACCTATCATCTCTACTGTTCACATATGTTTTGCAAGGCAAATATTAATATTCCCACTTCACAGATAAGAAAATTAATGCTCAGGAAGATTACTTGTTGGAAATCACATGCCCTTTACATATTGGACCAGACTGTGATTCGCATCCCATTCTGTCTGGTGACAAAGTCAGCTGACCCACTTGATCAAGCACATCCAGGTCATTGTGTGGGATATGCAAAAATGCTAAGTCTAGACCTGGCTCTCAAAGAGCAGATAAAAATACCTGGAATTTAACTAAAATAATGAGAAATGTATAAAGCAGCCAGGTACAAAGGGATGCGGAAGGAATAGACTCAGCAGTCAATCAGGGAAGCTTCACAGACATTGTGAAAATTCAGCTGGGATCTGAAGGGATGACAGCATTCAAACTGACAAAAAATAGGACAAGCACAAGGAGGACAACATAGGTCAAAGTGGTGAGATAAACAGGAACAAGATATAAATAATGTTGGCTTATCTAAATAAGTTCCGGCAAAAATGTTGAGGGAAAGGCTTTGGATGGCAAGTTAGGGAGACTGGCCTATATCCTGCCAGCAAGCGGAGCAGGTATTGGTCTTTTCAACAGTAACCAGAAGTTCAGGCTATAGAAGGAGCTGGCAATGAGTAAGTTCTTCCTTAATCATCCAAGTGCTTCTTATGTACTATTTCATTTAATCCATACAACATCGCTGTGATACATGAAGTTATTATGACCATTTTACAGTTAGTTATATAGATGGTAAGAGTTCAAGTCCATTTGTTACACTGTGTTAGCACTCCCCAAGGGCAACTGCACACAAACACTGCCTATGAGACAGGATCTAACCTTCCACTACTCCATCTTCTCTTAGATCTCTTACATCCAGTTCTTTCTCACTCACATGACACCCCTGGAGCCCTCTTGTGCCTCCAGAAGTGTCCCCTGATGGCAGTCAAGAGATTCCCATTGCTGTCAGCATTCTTGTGCTCACTGATCACTTGGCTATTGTCTTGGAAATATAATTTGGAACATCTTCTTTCTGCTATGTGCCTGGCCTGTAACCCACTCACAAACCCCAAACTTCCAGCATTGTATTTGCCCAACCCCAGAGTGAGTGAATGGGGAGTCACTGTGTACCGAGTACTTCGATTGCTGGGTCTTGTCCTCTTTCCTCAGCCCCAGCACTCAGTGAAGAGTCAAATGGCTCACCCAGTGAATCACCAAGGCTACAGATACACCATGCATGTCCAAGGAGCAAGGTAGCTCAGGTGAGTAAGTACTGACATCTGAAAAAGCTTTCTATACCATTGTGCTCACTGGATCAAAACACATCCTAGCTCCGCCCCCCCACCCCACCCACAAATAGCTGAAATATCTGGCTCCTAAAGCATGCAGTTCAACTGGCTCTAACTACACAGTATTTGGGCATCCAGACAAGGAGAATCTGTGGCTTTTTTCTTTTAAGTCTTATTACTCTTTTCTGCCCCATCACATCCAGGGAAGAAAATTTTCCTGGGTGTGTTTCATGCTTGATTCATTTTAAAAGTGCTAAGCAGAGAAGTTGACATAGCTCCCTTTATAAAGATAATAGAAGATGGGACAGCTCACTCTTAATACAACCCCAAGAAGCCAGAGTACCCATGTCCTGCTTCTTAATCCCCAGCATGTCCTGAATACCTTGCATTTTAACACGCAGACTGATATATCGACAGCAATTTACCAGGGACTATATGCCTCTCCCTCTTCCCTTACTCTATCTTTTTTTAAACCCAGAACCGCACTGTTTTGCATGAACTTAAAGGGAACAGAGTTCACATCATTGTGCATGTCTCTATCCATATGTAAATGTATATTAATATCTATATTTATATACAAAGATTTGTGCCAATGCAACAGCATCAGGACATTTTAACATAATGACTTTGTGTGAAGGCCAATTCACATGTATGCTGCTGACCATATGTAAACTCTGAGAGCTCACAGGACTATACCAAGTGATGGCTATCCATGCTCCCATATGGAATTCGTCTCCATGAGGAATTGCTAGGTGTCGACATCTGTGTGTGTGTGTGTGTGTTTTCCCTTCTACATCTTTTTAAATTGATCCTCTCAGATGTGGATTCAAACTTGTGTACTAGCCTGGTATGTCCCATAATATTTGTTTTTATCTTCTTCAAGAGGCTGCTTTGTTACTTGTGAGCATCCAGAGTTCTCTCACACAGTGGGTATACTGAATAGCCCAGTAAAACAAGCTTCTCTTATGCAGCTCAGTGACATCCTCTTCAGGCCCCCCCCCCCTCGAAAGATACCCTTTGCCCTCTCTTCTCCCCGCTCGCACATGGGCACCTTCTCCCTGCCACGCCTCCATTGGTGGCACCCTCTCTGGGGGAGCTGGATCAGAACGTGCCCACCTCAGTGACTACCAGTCTTCTGTTTAGGCCCAGATCAAGGCCACCTTCTCTGTGAACTCTCTCCTACACATTAAAATTTGCAGTGGCCTTATAGAACTATGGCACAGTAGCAGTTGCTATCACATTACAGGACACGTATTTATATTTAACTTTCTTAGTAGCCTTTCAAGAGAGCCTCCTATGAATGCAAGGTAGAAACTCCGCCCTATCTAAAATAAATATCATCCTAAAATATCTGAGACTACACAATTGCAAAGCTTTTATGTCAGGAATCCCATCCCTCCCCATCTCCACAGTGCCTAGTACATAGAAGATGATCAAGGGGAAAAACGATAGGTTTTGCACCACGCAAATCCCTTAGGGATGAGTATACCTAGTACAGTCCCTGGGTTTCTCAATGGATGGACAAAGGCATTTTTATCAGAGGAATATGCTGTGCTTCCATAGACCACAACAGAGGCCTGTAGCTAAACAAACAAAAACTGAAACAAATAAGAACTACCTTTGAAACTCTCAATGATTTGCAGCGAGCGGTTCTTGCATATTCATTTATGCTTAGACAAAGCTCTGTATCTTCCACCTACCACTTCAAAGATTTGCCCCCTAAGAAGTTAATCGTCCAGCCTGGTGTTCTACCAAGAAAAGGAAAACATGGCTCACAGTCATTCAAGTTAATGTGTTAATTAAACCTGCAGAGTCTGACAGGAAAGTTCTGCACAGAGCAGGGAATGGTACCAACGCCTGGCTGTCTGAGCAGCAGTGGGAGGCCTGGTGTTAACATGAGTCAATATCCTTTAATAACATTCAGGGAGTCGGCAGCACCCGAGGAAGATCCTGTCCTTCCCCCTGTGTCTCTGGCTCCTGTTTCTATGACTGAACGCAGAATTGAGAACTGTCACCACTGTGTGTCACGTCCCGAGACCACAGAGGGCTGCAGAGAGGACAAGGGAATATCTGAACGAGTTTTAGGAGACCGAGGTCCGCCTGCAGAACCTCTGTCATTCGTGGAGGGGTTTGTATTTTGTTTTGATAACACTGGTACAAACTATTGAGGGGAAAATCCAAGGAGTAGAAAGCGTATAAAGAGAGGGGGAAAAGATTCAAGGAAAAACATCCTTTCTGCCCAAAATCACTCTAAACTTTCTGGGGCCACTTCCCCGCCGCTGTGAGTGGGGCTCCATGAGCTCAGACTCGACGCCCGGCTGTGCTCAAGACCCTGTTAGCAGTCTTAGGGCCTGGCCCTCCACCCTGTCACCGCGCTGGTACGGGGCTGTCAATTCTCCCGGCCCTGCCTCTCTCCCGAATAGCTTTCCCCTGTTCTTTCTTTCTTATTTTTTTTACCATCTTTCACATTGGCTTGTTTTCTTGTCATCTGCCTTTATCTGCTAAAGGAAGAATATAGATAAAAAGTACAGTTAACTGCAAAGGTTAGTTTTGCTATGAACTTTAAAAAAAATCCTCATCTGAGGATATATTTCTTGATTTTAGACAGGAAGGGTGGGGGCAGACAGACAGACACATCAATGTGAGAGAGAAACATCAATTGTTTGCCTCCTTTACATGCCCCATTTGGGTATCAGACCCACAAGCTAGGTTTGTGCCCTGACTGGGGATCGAACCCACAACCAGTTCTTGGTGTATGGGACAACATTCCAACCAAGTCACAGGGTGAGGGCTATTATGAGCTTTCAATCAATTGTTCAGTCATCTCTGGGGCCACCCTTATGAGGGTGAGGGTCACAGGGCCCAAAGAAGCAAAAGGAAGAATGCCACCTGGGGTTGGGAAAGAGACTCACCAGCTTTGCTCAGGATTTCTAACGTACAGCAGAATAAGATGGAGTGCAAGAAGGGGGTATGAAAGCAGCTGTTTCCAACTTGCATTTTCCATCTTTGTACCATTCACATTCGGTTGAATCCCTAGAAGAGCGCCCTCCTTCTATAAGGAGAAATGCAACTTCTGGATGTTGATGCAAAAGCTTGCTGTTGTCATAGTCCCTGGAAAGTCTCAATAGTCCTAAGTGGGATCAATACAGTCCATCTTTTCAGATTGGAACCCAGGTGCCCAATAGGCATTTTCTTTTGCAGCTAGGAAATCAGTCCAAGGACACAATTCCATAAAAGGTAAAAAAGATAACATGTTTTAAGTCTTCGGTTGATGGGATTAGAAGCGATTCACCACAAAGTTCCCTGTGGCGACTTCCTCGGTCAGGAGGCAGGTCCCCTCTGCACAGGCTGCTGGAGAGGCTTCCACCTGGCGGAACACTTCCTGCTGTCGGCTCTTTTCAAGGTTGCCTGCTCCCTCCTCTTTGCTTCTCTGCCCTTAACACTGCAGAGGCAGGGGGCCTGCAAATTGCACTTCTTGAAAAGGCTGACAGAAAACCCTGCCAGTTCTGTTTTATTTGCCTCATCCTAATGCGGCCCCGGGGGTGGCCTGGGTACGGAGCTCTCATCCACCTC